AGAAACGAAGATGAGCATCTTGAGGATTAAAGCAGGGACGAACCTCCTTGACATCTTAGAAGCAACCATGTCTTCACCCAGCAACCCAAGCGCAGAGGTTGCCCTATATTCGAACGCTATCCAAAGATTGGTGGATCATTTCGAATCACGGGACTATTGTTTGCTTCAGCGCCAGAAACTCCGTTCTCTGACCCAAAACGCTAACGAAACGCATTTCAAATACGTGCAACGAGTTATTAACTCTGCAAAGCTGTGCAATTTCGCTGGAGATCAGTTTTTGGAAAACGTTGCAGATGTCATTCAGACCCATGCTCTGAATTTAAAGATGAAAGGTGGTACTATTCCAGGGTTACTGGAGAAAGTTCGAGCTTTTGAGATCGGTAATTTGAATGAAGAGTTATTCGCCAAGTCCCGTCATCCTCATCAGGCTCAGGTTGCAGTTGTTTCTACTGGTCACCCGTCGGCATCTAATCGAGATCCTAATCCTCGTTTTGGGAATGATCGCGCTAGAGCGACCTACCAAGCCACGAATACATACAGAAGTCAGGACAGATTGCCAAACAATCAACAGCTAGGCGGAAATCGGGATCTGTTTCGCATAGATGTAGCTTTGAACACAAGGCAAAATCCATGCTGGCGGTGTCTCAGCAGATTTTACCCGCCTTCCAACTACCCAATATCGGAGAAGGTTTGTCGAGATTGCCTACACAAGGGACACATCGCACGATCATGCACTGCATCAAGAGTTCCACAGAAACGCAAGTCTACAATCGACAATGATCCACAGGAAGGACCGGCACCAAAGAAGGTCGCAATGCTTTCGGAGAAAGAGCTAGTGGAGGAGAAAACCGTAAGTTTCCCTTCTACGAAATAAGTTTTATAACATTCTTGCTAACATTTTCTGAATCGACTAAAGCATAGTTGATTTTTACTTCAAATGCCTTATTTTATATATCAAAACGTCCTGTGAATTCGTTTTCTTTTTTGTTTTGTTATTATATTTTTCAACTGATTTTTAATTGATGATAAATAAAACATTGTAAAATACTATTTTATAATAGTAGTTATTTTAATGAAGTTAGCTGGTTAACTCCTTAACCAAGTTTAATGGAATAATCTGAAAATACCTAAGATTATTTGTTTTCTTCCGTTGTTTCAGGCAACGGAGGAAGCTGTCAATTGTCTACCTGGATCCCATGGACGTACTGATTCTGAGACATACATTCGGGGGTACATAGCAGGCCTACCCATTCAATTCTTGATAGATTCGGGGGCGGAGGTAAATACAGTCAATGGAGACATTTTCCGAGAATTGACGAACAACGATCGTTTTAAGGCAGAGATTTTTGACGGGAGACAAGGTTCAGATAGGCCGTTAAAAGCTTACGCTACTGATCACGATGTCCAAGTGCTGGGGACATTCGTCGCAGAACTTTAATTTCCGATGAACGACCTCAATTGCTGGAAAAGTTTTACGCGGTTGATCGCGCAAAATCCCTTTAAGGTAGAAGCACAGCAATTAGATATTGTGTCCTTCAAGTTGGGCTGGGTGTACCCGTCATAAATACAAGTATTAACGATTTCAACCCGCTTCCTGGAGAAATTTTTTCGATGTCTGGCGCTAACGATTTTCCAAAGTTTAATGTTGAACCCGTCATTCTTACGTATGATCATGAAAAGCCTCCATCAAGAAACATATATACTAATATCCCACCAGCATTCAAAAAGGAAGCACAGCGGATACTAGATGAACTACTGATAGCAGGAATTATTGAAGCGGTAACAGACACAATGGAAAAATCATTTTGCACCTCGTTACTCGTTGTCCCGAAAGGGAGAGACTACATAAGATTAGTGGTGGACTTGAGAGGTCCTAACAAGTGCATCATCAGAACCCCCTTTAAGATGCCAACACTAGAAGCAATATTAGCTGAGTTGCATGGATCAACGGTCTTCACAACGCTTGACTTAAAAAGCGCATTCCTCCATGTAGTCCTAGATGAACAATCTAGACAACGTACCAACTTTTACGCGCGTGATGCCACATACAGGTTTAAAAGACTCCCGTTCGGCCTATGCAACGCTCCGGATATTTTTCAGGAGATCTGCCAAACTGTGATTCTTTCCGGATGTCGAGATGTCCGGAGTTACTTGGATGATGGAAATCACGACAACTAACTTTAATGAGGTGTATCTTGCAGGTTAGCAGGTATTAGCAGCTAAACTTGACATAATTTAGTTCAGCAACTTTTACCCTACTGTAACATATGCAATTCATAGGAGGATCCAAGGGGATGTCTAATGAATTCTTTAATAAAGTACCACAGTGTTTTGTTACGTTTTGCTGTTTTCATGACCATTTTTCCAAGTATGACCATTAGAGTGGGTTGTAGCTTCGACAAACTTGTTTGGTATAGTATTCTCAATCTAAGTCTGAGTTTTGGTGAAATTTTAGCAATATTTGGACACTTGGAAAGCAAATGAATAGGATCGTTCCGTTTCCCATACAAAATTTAAAATTCTCCCGAGATTATAACTAATTTTGTTCAAATTTGGTCCCAGCTGTTGGGAACTAGAATAAACATTAAAAGATCAGTCGGAAACCCACTCTAATGTAAACACTTCGGAAAATGGTCTTGAAAACAGCAAAACGTAACAAAACGTTGAGGTACTTTCTAGAAAATTCATGATGCATTCCCTTGGATCCCCCTATGAATTATGTATGTAACAGTGGACTAGAAAATGTTGAACAAAATAGCGTTGAGATTAGCTGCTAATACCTGCTAACCTGCAAGATACACCCCCTTACAGATATTTAGCGTTGAAAAATTATAAAAAGGGACTTAAATCCTTAAAACAAAGCGAAAGACATTCGATTTTTGCAGCAAAACTGTGCAGTTCTCGAGCACTAGCAACTTTGTAGAACATTGAAAAAATTGTAAAATTCCAACTAAAAAGTTATGATACACCCAGCAAACAATTTTGTTAACATTACTCAGTTGCAATTCAGTTAGCTGTAGCCTTATACAATATAAAAGCATCGTACAAGATGCATGAATTCCTTATATGCGTACAAAAGTGGAGGCCATATACGTACAAATAGTATTTAGCGCAAACATCATATAAGAGATGTCTTATGATTTCATTAGAATGATTACGCAATCTGTTATTTTTCGTCTTGTATTACATAACGTGCATAATGCAATTATATATCAAAGCTTATATAACTTTTCAAGTTACTGTACACATTATATAATATGTTAAAAAACATATCCGCAGATGTATATATATATATATAATCATGGTTAAACCGCAATGCATTGATAGTTCATTTGCATCCATACTTTTACGAAAAAAAAATCCTGCGGGTATAAATCAAATGATATGGATTTTTTTTATATTACATATTACTGAAAATTCGAGAATTTTTTAATGATCTACAAGATAATTGGTTTGAACACATACTTTTTAAATAACTCAACGCATACCTGGTTACATTAGCCTTGATCCTGGTGTCTTCATATCTGCATGGCAGCTACTTATCCATTAGTCCATATACATATTGGTCAATCAACGAATTTTTGTCTATCTTACAAAATCATTAGATTCTAGATTAAGTTCAACATCTTATAAGACTGTTGTTGAGTTTATTATAATTTTATATGCCAGTAACGCTATACGACATTGTTTTGATCGAAATACGATGCATTCCCAATTACATCATAACATATGTGATTATTAGGACACTGCTACGATCATTAAATGGACCGCTAAATGATTAAGGAACAGCAGCAAAATGCTTTTTAATCAATGTTCCCAAACCAGTGGATACTAGCAATAGTACAAATTCGTCACACCAATTATTACTCCATTTTCATAGATTATTATGTGATAAGAAATTTCAGTTTTAATAAAAAACAGTTTTGGTTGATTATTGCAATTCACTTCACTCTTATGTAAAGGGAAATGTGTTACATTATAAACTTTAAGAATGATATCAAAATAACAAAACTGGCTACTCTGGCACTTCATCAGTAGTGATCGGAAAATGTAAATAAACATTCGTTTTCCACTACACTGTCCTCATCGCATCGAACAGCTACTTTTTTTTTTTTTTTTTTTTTCTTTATTTTAGAGATTTTTAGCCTGAGGCTAGTTCATCTCTTACGAACAGCTACTTCGTCTCGTCGATTAATCACAGTAAGTTGAATTAAAACTTTATCCTCTTAAATAAACTAAAAACAAAAACAAAACTTTCAGATGTACGGAGTTGCGCAGTTCATAGAAAACGGCCGATTTCAGGTTCTGGCAGTACCCATGAGCTGGATACAAAAGGAGTTCCTAATGTGGCCAAAGTCATTGAACAACGAGAAGATCGATAAGATGCGGAAGGAAGGGACGATTTTTAAAGGCGCAACCAAATCCGTACCAGTTATCGTAACACGAAAATTCCGCAGCTTCCAAGCGGCGGAAGCTTCTGTGGAAGAACTGTCAAAAAAAGACGTGTCGGATTTTGAAGCAAAAAAAAAGCAACTGAAATCTGCAAAAAAAAGAGGCCAGCGGAAAAACGGAACGATTACAACTCACTTTGTAAAGGTATGTTTTCTCTTAAATGGTTCAATTATAAATTAACGTGACTATTTTCAGCAATCGTTGGCAAAGAGAAACAAGCTTGCAGTTCCCGAAGCTCGTTTCAGAAAGTTAAAGCACTATCGGTTGAGCCACCGGAAAAACTGGTCCGTCCACCACAGCCATTGGAACCAGTCATCAATATTCGCCCTGATACGCCACCGGAAAATCTAATCCGTCCTCCACAGCCAATGGAACCGTTGATCAATATTCGGCCGGATGTGACAGCTCCAAGGGATGATTTCCAATCATTTCTTCAACCATCTGCCACAACCACAACGATTGCCCAGACATCTGCGGAAATAGCGAGAGCAGTTCAAATTGTGCAGCAGTCATCAACATCAAACGTTGTCCAGGAACCAATACTACGTATGCCGGAGGATTTCATGCTTCAACAGATCCAGTTGAAGCCGCTGGAAACTACTAGTTCCCTTCCAGGTAAAAACTTCAATGATAATTTTGACACTGAAAAAAAAAATTGTGGTTGCTTTGTTGAAGTTAACAAATTTAAATGACATTATTGGTGTTTTGGATTCATGTGTTCCATTTGGTGAGTTTGCATATTTTTGACAGACAAAAAATTAATTTTGACAGACACCTTCTCGAAAATCGACCGATCAATAACTGATTAATTTATTTTTAATGTGTCAAATTTAAGTGAAATTTTTTAAAATGGAACACAGCCTTAGTACCGAATTAAATTTATTGATTGCATGCATTTTGCAGATTATCGATCATTTGCGCCAAATGTTCCTGAAGAGAACATTCACTTTGAGGCTCATACCAAGAATATGGATGTGGAAGGTATTTGAGTTTTTATATTAATTTAATATTGATTATCAGCTTTATTATAATCATTGTCAATAAAAATACAATACAAATAATGAAATATCCTTTTAGGTGAGGATACCGATCAAGTTGAAACTGCAACGGACCTAGATGAACTTATTAAACAAAATATTTTCGATGCAGTCAATGATGCAATGCGGAGCTATCTTGACATACACATCGAAAACATAGTAGAACGTGCGGTAACTGCAGCTGTCGATAGAAGTTTTGCGACTAATTTTGCTCGTCTAGCAGCCATGACGGAGGTATTAAATAAAACGGCATCCAAAGACGACACAGTTATCGAGTTACGATCACCTGTTGATACTGAGAAGCATGTTACCGATTGGAATGCTGAGTTGACAAATGATGCTCTTCAAATGAAATATGTGAGTACTCCAATAAACCGTTTCATAAATTATTCAAGAATTCAAATGTATCATAATTTAAAATATTATATCTTTTTTTCCAGATGGAATTTTTCTCCCGAATTATTGTTCCTAATTCGTACGTGGAAAAAGGAGATAACGCGTTTTACGTCATTGCAGATTGTCTATTCACTAGACAATTTTGGAATCGATTTACTTGGACAGGTGTGAACAGAGGACATAAATCCAAACGAGGCTTCCGTGAATTTGGAAACGTCACGGAACTGCTTTTAAAACTTATTCAGATTGGTGACCCCACATATACAAAACAGCAGTTGGAGAAGTTTTGTAAAACGCGCTTATTTAGACATGCTAAGACACGATCTGCTAACAAAATGCTGCGAAAGTCATCTTGTCGTACTAAGCGAGGTGTTAAAAGGTCAAAGCCTCATCATGAAGATGCTATGAGTGTTACAGACGACATCGAACTTGATGACAATGGCTCTGATGGTGAGGATATGGAAGACTTTGAGAACACAGAGTCAATTCATCAACCGAACGACACTGATACATCTGAAGGCAATGATGGAGACTTCCAAGCTACAGGCAACAGTGATGGTTCTTCTGAATGATTGATCACGGAATGAAGGATTAAAGTTACGGTCGTGACTATCAATGATTTTTTTACATTTCTTGTTATTTTTTAAATGAAAAATTGTTGAATTGGATTCTTAAACAAATAAACTGCTTTCTTAGTTTTATTACTTGATATAATGCTCACATTAGGTATTATCTATTATTTTATAACCTTTTCAGATGAAATTTGCCATTGTATGCATAAGTTGCATAAGTGGTATGAATACAGTTTTATCTTTACGGTTGATAGGAACCATTTTACATAAAATCAAATCAGGTCTGTAGAAATAAGCATTTGAAAAATTTTCTTTCACAAGTTTTGAGCTGAATACATGAAGAAAAGAAGAATCCATTGGTTTTGGGAAGAAATTTTCCATTTCCAACAAATGTTGTCCTTTGATTAATACTTCATCTTCATCTTCATGAACATCTGTCATTCCAACTAATTCTAATGTATTTGTGAGAAACCATTTGTTGGTAAACTTGTTTGTCAAAATAAATTCTGGAAAGGTAATTTTACATACTTTTTCGTTTTTTATGACATTGATTAAAGTAAGTTTGGAGAAATGCTGTAATTTTGATGATTTTTCACTACATTCAGCTTCTGTTATTCGGTTGGCTATTTGAGTTAACGGATTAGGACCGGGTTTCACCAGCTTTTTCAATGAATGTAGGCAATTTTCGAAAGGATATGCGGAAAGAGATATTAATGTTCCAAATTTTTCCACTTCGTCTACAATATGGCAAAGATTGTGTACATTACTTGTGATAAACTCCGTACCATACAGTATCTTGTAATCATTTATAAATTCAATTAAGAGCATTCTCGCGATTGGTAAAAATGATTTGTATCTTTCCACAGAACAAATACGGACTGCGCAAAACAATAATAAAAAATGTTCATAATACTTAGGTGGTAGATGATCTTTTAGAAGCACAACTCCTACATAGTTCAAAAAAATTCGATATTCCAACCCTTTCCAAAGTGAAATATGTTCCAACGAACGCATACGTCGGTGAATCTCTACAGGGAACCTTAAATCAACCAAATATTCAGAGATAACCTGTTTTCCGTAAGCGCTCCATTTCGCTCGTTTCGTCATGCATCCAGTACGCCAAGAATTAATCAGCTTCCGCATAATGCCTAACTCTAATAAATGTAACGCATCTCCAACAATGACATCATCTATCATGTCTATCGGTAGTTCCGTAAGTAGAGACACGGCACGTTGGTGCTCTGGGTATTTATTCTCTCGAAACATTTGATTAGTCCGTAGCTCTGCATTCACTTCTGGGAAGATCATGGTTCTTGTCTCATGGGAATATTTTCCTTTCGTCGTACACTTCAGGCATCCAAACTTGCCGTTATAGTTTGTTACACACTTAATAAAGGCCCGAGCGGGAGAATCACATATAAACGCTCGAATTTTTACGGAAACTTTGTGAGTATTAATTATCACACCTGAATTAAGAACTGATGTAAGCTCATTGATGAAAGGAGATAAAAATTCATTGGCATCTTTTGGTTTGCTTGCTCCATAGTAAATACCAACGATGATTGGAGAAATGTGTGATAACTCATGGATATTCACAAGAATTGGCCAAAAATGATTGGCACTGCTCTTATATATGGGAAGACCATCAATGTTGATGTTAAGGGATACATTCATATCCACAGCAACATGCTCCAAGCGCTTTTGTAGGCCACGTTCCAAGCCATGGTGCCAGTATTTACCATAGTTTTTCATGGTTATGATTTCCAAAGTTCTAGGGGTTCTCATAAAAGTGCGGGGATCTTTTGGTAGATCCACCTGCAAGTGAGTATTGAGCACACCAATCAACGATTTCAAAGCTGCTTGCGATATTTGATATTGCGAAGCCCATTTCCGGATTTCAGATTGAAGTGATCTTAAGAATGAAAGAACAGTTTTTTTTTTAAATCGTTAAATTACTTTTAGTAAAATTTGGTTTTACCTTGGTATCGTTCATTTTCAACTATATCTTCTAAAATTTCTTTCGAATCATCCATACTGTGAGTATTCATTTCATTATCCAAAGCTTCCGTGGCCTCATTAAATTCTTCAGAGATGACAGAAGCAGAAGAAGAAATCGATGAACTAGAATAATGCTGTTGGTCCACATCGTTATTTTTATCCGAATTATTTTGAGAAATCTGAGGGATGATCCTTTTTTTATGCTTTTGAAGCAAGCGACTGTACGTTCCACTTTTGCGGATTCGCGTCAACTTATTTTTTAAAACAAATGTATTCATACTCCGCCTGATTTTCCTGATTTTCCGAATATTTGTTTTTAATCGTAGATTGAACAATGATTCCACAATCAAATAAATAAAAACAGACAGATATGCAATATAAAATAACTTCATGTGTATCTATATGTAATGTTCATCAACTTTCTCGCAATATGATTTCTTGTGGACAAATACGGTGATTTATGCAACTAGGGAAAAAAGTTTTATTTCAATCATAAAAAATCGTTATATGTAATCTTTTTACAACTTGATGCAATATTGGCTGCCGTTATATGCAATTCTAATTTAATATGCGTGTATATACGACTTGATTTGAACATTCTTTTACGACTTATGGTTTGCTGGGCATCATCTATGTGATGCCTAATCTTCTATTCGTTGTTCCCTAGATTGAAGTGGTTAAGACTAGGGTTCTGATGCGTGGTCATTATCGGTGTCATACCTTAATTTTGTTGCTGAGGAATCCAATTTTGACTGACAAAGGGGCGCGCCTTTGGAGGGTGTTTCAACACTCCGAAGGGTATAAATAGCGGGACCTTTTAATTAGAGTCGGATCCTTGTGATAAATGCAAGAGTTGCAACTGTAAAAAAATCGAATACTTCATCATTTCTCAATAGTGATGGAGTAATACGACATGCACTAAACTAAGGACACGAGATATACTACAATAGATCAATTTACTGGTCGCAGTAGTGTTAGGTCCCGATCAGAAAAAAAAATGATACAAAACGGGTTTTAAAGGGGTACTACCGTGTGTACTCCATTTTCAACCTCAAACTTCGTCCACTTGAGATGGAAAATTGACGTCTTCTACTAAATTTCCTAAAATGACTTCATCTACAATGTTTCCATTGATGATCATCAATTTCAACAAGACATAAAAAAGTTATTTTTTTATCTTAGTGTATACCCCTTTAAGCAAAAAAAAATTACTACTACCATAAAGTATTTAAAAATTGAAGAAACATTCTAGAATTCATCAAAATGCTACACTCAATAGCTTCGTTGCAATTGGTCATGTCCCTCTTTTTTGATTTCGTCCCACTGCCGGTGGCCCAGAATGCAGATTTAGGTGGAAGATACTAGACTAGAAGTCTCTTCTACAAAGTTGTTCCTTATAGTTAGGCCCTCATTTTTATGACAATGAATTCTAGGGTGGTTCCTATTATCATTAAAATCAAAAATCTAACTTTTTTGTTTGAATAAATTAAGGTACACATTCTTGGGCAAAGTTATAGCTGAGCTAATTTCAAGCAACTTTGTTGAAAACAACTTTTTTGTATCTCTTAAATTGGCCGATTTAGAGCTATTTTCTTGAATTCAGTTAGGGTGGCTCTTAAAAAACAGTTTTTTCGCTCTAGTTTTCTTATTTCGAATTTCTCAACAAAAGTGTCTTTAAATGACTTTTAGATCTTAAGAAGGCGCAAATTTTTGCTGCACAAAGTTTGGCAATATCTTTCGCCGATCAAGAGTTATTGACGTTTTTATACTAAAAATATGCACTTTTCAAATGTTAATATCTCTGGTTGGGGCAAACAAAAAACAAGTTTTTTTACGGCATTTGAAAGGACGTATGCTATTCTCAATAATATGAAAAAAACTGAAGGTATGTTATTTTTTGTTTGCCCCAACCAGAGATATTAACATTTGAAAAGTGCATATTTTTAGTATAAAAACGTCAATAACTCTTTATAGGCGAAAGATATTGACAAGCTTCTTGGAGCAAAAATTTGCGCCTTCTAAAGATCTAAAAGTCATTTAAAGACACTTTTGTTGAGAAATTTGAAATAAGAAAACTAGAGCAAAATAAACAGTTATTTTGCTCTAGTTTTCTTATTTCAAATTTTTTAGCACCACCCTAACTGAATTCAAGAAAATAGCTCTAAATCGGCCAATTTAAGAGATACAAAAAAGTGGTTTTCAACAAAGTTGCTTGAAATTAGCTCAGCTATAATTTTGTCCAAGAATGTATACCTTAATTCATTCAAACAAAAAAGTTAGATTTTTGATTTTAATGATAATGAGAACCACCCTAGAATTCATTGTCATAAAAATGAGGGCCTAACTACAAGGAACACCTTTGTACAAGAGACTTTAAGTCTAAAGTTTCAATTTCAGGCTCAAAACATATCATTCCACCTAGATCTGCATTCTGGACCACTGTGCACTGTGCGAGGGGGCGATTCTATCTACGATGCAGGATTTTTTTTGCTGTGGATAGCTGCGCGCACGCTGGGTAGATAGAAAGAAGATTGATGACGATTCTGAAGATTTCCTGCAAAAAGATGATGCGCAATGCAAGAACATGCGAGAAATGAAAGAAGATTTTGCGAAGATTGACTCGCTAGTGTGCGATTTTTTGAGAATCTAGAATTGAGATTTAGATGTGTTGCTCCCCTCGTTTAAAACCGGGCAATGCAAAGATCCTTTTTTTTTATTGAACCCCTAATAAGCTGTTTTTTTTGTCTCTTCTCTACGCTAAAAATAAATTAAATGAAAACAATTTAGGGGCTGTTCATAAACTACGTAGACAGTTGGGGGGGGGGGGGGTTTACAATTATCCACGGCCCATACAAATTAAAAAAAATTGTATTTACAATTGTCTAAGCAGGGGGAGGGGGGGTTCAGAATCCCAAAAAACTGTATCCGTAGTAAATGAACAGCCCCTTAAGCGTAACTATCCATATCGACGTATCTAATTTTGTAAACAATCACTTCAATCG